CACCACATCAGCAGACAAGCGCGGAAATTTTCGTGTTTTAGTCTATGTTGCAGTCAAGCAGCAGTTTTGTTTTTAGTTTGTGTTTCAACAAAAATCCGCTGTAGTCAGAAGGTAGTTGGTTAACTTAGTTGGGAAAAAAAAAGATGTTTTACATTCAAAGAATTGTTTCATCTCAAAATGTCGCCAGATTCCTTGAATTTTGGTTTTAGTTTATTTCGCTAGTATACGAAAATTCGCTGCTCAATGTTTACTCACAACAAACTTTTCAGCCGCTTAATTATAATTTTGTTTCGTCCAAAAGTAGAAAGAGAAAACAATGTGAAAATCTAGTCAATTTGTCAAACAAACCGAACAACGAATTCAGACCGGGGTCGAAACAAAAATCATGACTCGTTTGTGTCGTTTCGATAATCGAAAAGAAAAAAATGTCACAAAGATGGAAAATGAAAAAGAAAAAATTGAGTAAATTATCGATGGAAATTGCAACTAATCACAGTCTTTCATCAGTCAGTAAAAAATTGATTCGTGAAGGTGTTTTAAACTTAGCTTGTATCGCAAAAACAATAAGTAGGGTTAAAAAAGGATCTAAAAGCTGGGGTTTTTGGCAAGCTGTACTAAAATGTATGATTCTTTACCATTCTCTCGCGTTGCATTTTTTTTCACTTCAGGGTTAGGGTCTCGGAAATTCCACTTCCTACGTTTTTTTCAGGCATTTTCAGTAAATAGGTACTAAGAAAAATATATTAGTAAGTGGGCATCCTTTATTTTCCCCATCTTTAGCGTTATATAGGTAAAGTACAGTGTTAATGAATTAAACCTCGGCTAGCTATAGACAGTTGTACAATCATTTATACACCAGTATTCTGCAGTCATGTGCTAGCCCGATTTTAATAAAACAAAGTCTTCCATGGACTGATTTTTCATTGCCGGACTGAAAAAACCTTGGCTGATCAACATTGCACGCCTCTGACGAACTTTGACCTTACTCGCTTTTTCGCTGGAGAATTTCGACAAATGTGAACTTTAAGAAACTTGAGTCCGTGTTATGAAGAGAATATAAACTGCAGTTTACAATCTGTTGATATTGACAATTCTCAACTTTTCCTCACCGTAACCCTCTATTTCAAGAAACTACTATTGCATGAGGCAGGCCCAGTCAGGCCCAGTCAGGCCCAGTCAGGCCCAGTCAGGCCCGGTCAGGCCCGGTCAGGCCGAGTCAGGCTCAGTCAGGCCCAGTCAGGCCCGGTCAGGCTCAGGCCAAATTCTTCTTTTGCGTTTTTCAGTTTTGAGCGAGATGAAGGCGAGTCTAACGAAGGTTTATTGTTATAAAACACGCGTCGTCGTACTGAGTGAAATAATACCATGTCTACATTGAAAAAAAAAAAGAATAAAAAAGACCCTTTTTTTAAATTAAATACGGTTTCTAAAGTTTTAAGATTCTAAGAGGGCTGGGGTCACAATTCCTTGAAAACTGTTTCTAGTAAAATTTATATACTTGTGTTAGTCACTGCGAAAAATGAAAAATTATGAATTTATATTTTTAAATTTTCCTAGTCTTTAGAGTTTTGCTTGAAAGCTATCGTTTGGAAAAAGCTAATTTTAAAAGCGCTTTGTTATACAACGCGGTACGGAAACACGGTTGGCAAAATGCATTTTACGGCGATGAACAGTAGCGCGTTGCGGCAGGACGTTTACGAGGCGGGGTCACAAGTCTTAAGAAAGGTTCTCAAGCACACGACCATTTTGACCGCACAAGCTTGGTTAATAGCTGATCTATCATATAGAAGAAAGATTTCGCTTTTGTAAGAATCAAGAATGACTCGTTCATTTTCGAGAGCCCTATGCTTTTGATCTTTTCAGTTGACTGGCTACCGAAGAAGGAATAGTACTATACGAAAAAGTAACTGAACATTTTGTTTTTAATCTGTTTCATGCCAGAGACCCGTTACATTCTCTCAAGCCCATGTAGCTTAACGTTACACTTTGCTTTTTATTCCTTAGTTATGAATAAAGCTGGTAAAGCTGATACAGAGGATTTCTTTGTCTTATTTCTAGTTTAAAAGATTACGGGCCTGATCTTTATTTCAGCTCTCTTAGCGGAGTAGCTATGACTCTTCCATGTATTCCAGTTGATTCCACGCCAAGCTGCCGAAGTATGCGATCCGTGGTAATAGTAACCGTTTAAATTGGCACGGACACAGCTATCGTACCACCAGGCGCTATTATACTTTGTGGCGCAGTTGCCTGCTGAGTTATTATCATTGTCGCGATCTTTGGTGGAGAATGCCATGTTACGATGAAAACTCAAAGAATCACCAGCAGTTCCTGACATAAAAATTCGTACAGACAGTAACAGTTGAGTGAGTAATCAAAAGCAGTCTAGAACACTAAGCTAGAATTCGGCAGTATCTCTAAGAACTATTCTGGCCTAAATGGACCAATCCACAGACTGTAAGAGCTCACCTGTATAGTTTCCAAGACCAAGTCTATATTTGTTTCTTTCGCTGGAAACAGAGAACATGTCATATTCTGCGTAAGCTGTCTTTCCTTGCGTGTCTTCAAGCTCCACTCGTAGTCTGCTCTTTGTTTTGGTCAGGCGGTGTATCTTGTCCAGTCCGAGCCAAAACTCACTATTCAGGTTTCCGAAGCCCGCCCAGTCGCGGTTAATGAAATCAACGGAGCCATCGAGTCTCTTCTGGAACACTGTCCAGCCCCCACGGGCAGAGTTTTGATCGCAAAACACATCAAAGGAACCCAAACCATCGGGGTCGATTGTGTAAACTCCACTGACTGTTTCACCAGATTCATACAGCTCAGCACAGTTTTTCATAGTTGCTGAGAAACGTCGAAGAACTATATATAGTTACTATCTTACATTTCAGCATGGATGAGTTGTAAGACGTATTCATTGACAGAGACTCACCTGGCGGAGTTGTTTTATTTCTTGTCAAAGCATCGATTCTTTTCTCTAAATTTGCGAGTTGATTTTCGATTTTGAGAAGATGTGCCTTGATGCCCTTATTTGCTGGTCCAGAATAATAGTTGTTGAAGTGAACGTTGTGGCACTTACTTGATGTCGCAGTATCGGGAGTGTTTTTTGATATGCTGCTTTCAAGACTTGCAGTTTGAAAAGTCAAGCTGCAATAGAGCAGACAGAATGTAACCTTGACAAAAATCATTCTTGGCTAGGAAAGTGCGCTAGCTCTGCAAGTGCTATCGTAACATCGTATGCTTCGAGACCAGAGAATCTGATTTATACGCTGAGTGAGGGGGCATTGGGTTTTTCGGTTTCACGGTTTTGGCAATTTTTCAGATTGTTTTTTCGATTTTTGTGACAAAAATTTCGGTTTTTTCGGTTTTAGTATTCATCGCGGTTTGCGGATTTTCAGTTTTTAGCATCTGGCTTTCGGTTTTCGTCAAAAATTCAATCGGGTTTTCGGATTGGGTATCCAATGTGGGTTTCGGTTTTTCCCATTCAGTAGGTTCTGTTTTCTCTTCGATCTGTACGGCAGTTGTGCGCCTCCGCTGATCTCTAGTAGCTGCGAAACCTCTTGTTTCGGGCTTTTATAACTTGGATGTGCAAATTTATCGGTTTTGACCATAATACATGCGGTTTTCGGTTTTGATCGATTTTTTTTTCTCGGTTTGGATGATTTTTTCCTACGGTTTTGCGGTTTCTAATATGCGCCAATGCTCCCCTCCTGAATAAATTAAGTTTTAATGCCCCGCAATTTCGTGCCGTTATGTCCGTAAAAGAAGTTTAACTTTTAAAAAACTACTATGAGATGTGAATGCACGCCTGTAAGTTTGTCTGATAAAGCATAACTAAAGTGTCACAGTCTCTCTAAACGTATGGAACCTATCATACTCGCAAGTTCGAAGTAATCAAAATGTTTGCGACAAAAG